ATAAGTCAATGTAAACAGCGACTAATACAGGTAATAAAAAAACAGCAGATCCAAGAGAGATAAGGAGAGTAAAAGTAAGGTCTAGATATAAGCCATATAGCATAAAGGCATGGGTGACATAAAATAACAGGGAGGGGTTCAGGCGCGCTTGATTTCCACCCGCGCCTTGAGAAGGATGTCGAGGACCCACGCGGCGGCCTCCGCGACCGCGGCGCGGTGGCGGGGGAGGACGAGGGGTAGGACGCGGACAGCGAACTTGTCCGGGTGAAACCGCTTGATCTCCTCGTTCAGGCGCGTCTGCCCTGCGGGCGTGATGGTCTCCAGCTTCGCACAGAGCACGAACTGGTGGACCTCGACGGGCATGATGTGGGAGGCGTGGGTGGGGGCGAGGATGACGGGCCAGGGGATGTCGGCGAAGGTGAGGGTGGGCGCGACGGGTGCGGCGTGGAGGGCGGCCCACTTCTCGTTGTACTCCGCGTAGCGTGCGGAGGGCGTGCCGCGGACGCGGGCGTAGACCTGCTGGTCGGCGCGAAGCGACTCCGCCTCCTTCTGCAGACAATGCCACTTCTTCAAGGCGGAGCTAGCTTGATGTGGGGCACGGCCGATGCCAAAGGACGGCGCGGGCGCGAAGGACGGTGCGGCGCGGATGGACGGCACGGGGAGGGGGAGGGTGGAGTCGATGGCGGCGCAACGCAGATGGGCGGGGGTGTAGAAGAGGGGAGGCGCCTGGGAGGGGAGCGATTCCTTGCTCGCAGCGTCGCGCTGGCGCTGGCCCTCCAGCCAGCGCTGAATGCAAGGGTCTTCGAACAAGCGCGCCAGGCCAGGGCGCACAGAATGTTCAACGTCCTCCATGAGGGTGTCGGACGAAAGGGGCTGAACCTGCAGTCGGGCGAACTCCATGCGCAGGAAAGCAGCATCGGTCTGCGAGTCTGCAGAACCGGATCCCGCCAACGCCTCGAAGGAACCGCCAGAGTCGCTCGACGCAGTCGAGCCGGAGGAAGAGCTGTAATGGCTAGAGGAAGGCGATAGGGATGCCTGGGAGGACCGCTCGCGCTTCTTGTACTGCTGGAGGTTGGAGCGGAGGGGGGCGGGTTTGTATGAGGAGTGTCGGTTTTTCCGGTCCTGCGGCGCCTTGGGGAAGAAGCGCTGGTAGAGGCGGAATGCTGCTGACAACATCGAGTGGAAGATAGGATGGGGGTGGGAGTGAGAGGTTGTTGTTGTTGGTGTTTGAAGTACGGGGGCGATTTGCGCGAGAGGCGATGTCGAGCGAGGCTGATGTCGGTTGCGTGGTGAGGCTTGGCTCGCCGCCCTCGCCTTTACTTATGACTTTCCGAGGGCGCGCCATCATTGGATCTCCATTGTTCGAGATATCTTGAAGATCGCTTACCATATTCTACACCAATCGTCAACTTTTTCGCGTATTAGTTACCGTATTAGGCAATTGTCCGAGCGCACTCACCAAAGCCACTGATGCAGAACGGTTGCGATGCCGATCGATGCTCGACGGTTTGAGCAGCCAATAGGCTCTGCTGCCTCGAGAGGGAATTCGACCAAGCTGCCCGAAGCCCCGATCATCGTTGAATGTCGCGTCAATGGGATATGAGCTGACAATTATGAAGCCCGTGCGAGTCAAAGGTGACTGGCGCGGTGTCCGTTGCCAGCGTGCTCACGCCGGAGAGCGCCATATGCGGTGCGCCACCACCCATCGCGCGCCCCCAAAGCCGTCGGTACCGACGCCCGCCTCTCCCCGACACACGTCCAAATGCGGAAGTGGGTCCCAGCACAGCCTCCTCAATGACTCTTTGGTTATAAAGGTCAAAGGGCGATCGAACGCGGGTTACAAGGTTGTCATCCTCTTTCAAGGTCAAAGCACCTGCAGTATATATAAGCACATAAGGCAAGGATAAGCATCAGATTCAGACCTTGAGCCCACCGCCACTCCACAACTTGAAGATGCAGACACGCAGACAAGCAGCACAAGCAGCCGCGTTGGCGGCGGCGGCGGCCCAGGGGGCCGTCGTCCAGCCCGTCGCAAACGTCCCACCGCCACCACCCGCCCCTCTCCAGGAATCATTCTCATGGGGGTCTTTGTCGTCTCTGTCGACACTGACTCCCTCCTCGTCCTTCGCCTCCGACACCGGAACAGCTACAACCGGGCCCAACGGAGTGAACTTGGGCGCCATTTCCGAGGGCGATGAGGACGAAGACGCCGACGTCGATGAGGTCCCAAACGTGTACGGCACAGCGTTCGGTGTCCCGCGGTTCGTCCGGCTCGGGCCCCGCGCGCTGCTCACGCCCACCCACTCCCAATCCGACCGCTACCCCGCAGAGGTCTTTGAGACCCCTAGAAAGAACCACAGGCCGACCGAGGAAGAGCAGCGCGCCGCCCGGCAGGTGCGTGATTCGGAACTCGCGAAGAGCGGCGGGCTGGCGCGACTCACGCGACATGGGACACTGATATACCCGGATGATTCGTTCGCGGGCCCGTCTGACTACAAAGGCGGGAATCTTGGATCGGCGTTCATGAGTACACGGTCGATTCACCGCGAACAAACGAGGACACGGCTGATCGATCCAAGCACCGGAAGGTTTTTGGACGAGAGCGACTCGGATTGAGCCGCTAGAGGATGAATGGCGCGAATAAGCCTAGTAATTATGTACTCACTGGATTCTGTACGGACAATTTATGTTATGATCATGCCCATCTCCTGTGTCCCGCAAGCCGATTCATCTCAGTTGTGAAGACAGTCGTCTATGGCTGTATCATGTATGACCAAGAATGCGTCGAGCCTCGGTGAGCGAAGGTGCAAAGGACTCAACGCAAACGGTAGGATACATGATGGAGGTAAATGGTCAAGTTTGATCGAAAAAACCGGATCAATGGACGCTTTCGATCGATCGGTTAGACATAAAAATTGGAGACTCGCGAGTCGTAAAGGCCGCTTCAGCGCTTTTGATTGGATAATTCTATTCAGAAGCCCGGTTGCAGGCAGAAACCCCCCTTATATAGAAACCCGGTTGGTAATATTTTTTGGAGGGAGGGTTTCTCGCTTAGCATCGCCGGCCATCAATCACCCGGCCGCATGTGCCGAGCCCTACCGCAGGGAATTGTCTCTGAGGTTCCATTTCGATCAGTCAAGCAAAACAAAGCAAAATGTGAATTACAGTTGCAATTCTTGCAAAATTCAGTTCAAGTCTAGAGATAGTACAGCTGCTCAGTAATAGCAGCACCATTTCACAGGCTCACGACAAGTTGTCTGCACCCATCGCCTCAGCAGAATCTGCTGCCAACAGACTGATGAACCTCTGCCCTGTCTCATCAGACTTAACCGGCCTGTAACTGGGCTTTCGCCGATGGGCAGCTACAATTTAACATCAATATTATTTTTGCTGGTTCCTTAGCATGTACTGCAGTACTGCATTACAGATGTGATGGCAGATAAATCCATACAATCTGTGCCCAGTTCGCCAATGTTCTCTAGTGAACTCGGTGGAACTGAATTTTGGCCGAGTTGCCGGAGTTGCCGGAGTCGCGGCCCCCGGCACTGCTAAAAGTTGAAAACCAGGTTTCTGTATAGACTTTATTTTTAGACGGGGGGTTTCCGCCTGCAACCGGGTTTCTGAATAGAATTATCCCTTTTGATTCACACAAGGACTGGGTGACTTCCCGTAAGCTAAATTTATTCCTGCAGAATATTTCGGAGGCTTGCCGAGGCACCTGTCAGGACCCCATCAGTTCGGCCAGCCCAAAGTGGACAGCATTTACTCCGCATCACCTGAATAGAATAAGAATCTGGAGGAGGGGTCGCGATCCCCCCAATAGATTTTGTGCTTGTCGAATATACGTTTTGGGACGATTTTGATTGATCGTCACGATTGTCGTGTCCCTCTCTTATGATGATGGTCTTATCCCTTTGCATGGACCTTGGCGGGGCTCAGACTCGCTGGGACGTCCACTCTCTACTATTTTCAGTCACTTTAGACGACCCCAGGACCTGCCACGTGTTTTTTGTTATGATCTGATGTCGTTGGAAGCCGCAGGAAGCCGCGGCTTTTCACGAGGCCGTCAGTGGGCATGTGCGCGAAGGCAAGAGTTGCACTGTGGAGGGAGCGGCATGTGATCTCATTATAGGTACATGCATGCACAAAAAATATTCCCTTGCTTGCGGGAAACAGAGACAGCATGAATATCTTCTTGATTGGTCCCATCACTAGCACCCTCAAACAAGCTCGGAAAATACCCCGGAATATATTTACCTTATGGGAAGTCACCCACTACCAATGCTAATCACTGTGGAACTTAGGAACCGTGAATTTCACGGTGAAGTTGTGTGAATTTCACATTTCACTGCAAAAAGGGAATGAAAAGGAAAATTCACCTACTCCGTGAAATCTAGGTGAAAGAGTGTCTCAGATAACCCGAAGTACGTGAAAAATCAATTTCACGTCAAAAAAGTGTGAATCCTGTTTTTCACATAGCCTTCCCGGTCCCCGGAGCGAGGTACATAACTCTGTTCATCAGTACTGGACATTTTATATTACAGGCATATGTGCATGCTGCTGCGGAGACACTAAGTGGCCAAGATAAGTCGTTAGTTGGTAGTCAAGTGGGGGGATGGAGGATAGGGTGAATCCTGGTGAAACTATCTTTTTCACTTTAACGGCTTGAATTTCACTGTCAAAAACTCAGTGAAATGATATGGTGAAAAGTTCCATTTTGTTAGTGAAATATTTCTCGTATTTCTCACAGTGAAATTCACGGTCAAGGGGCGAAATTCACGACAATTCAGACGTGACATTCCCCTGATCCTGGCAGTGAAAATGTTGGTGAATTTCACGGAGTCTGGGGTCCACAGTGAATGTTCGATACATACAACACTTTTTTTTTCCATCAAACGATCTAAGACGTGTAACAAGTGGAGCTCGAGCTCGAGCGATCGCTCCCTTCAACCCAGAAAAGTCAGAAATGAGTTTCCAAAGACACTCAGAGCAAAAGTATATGCATTAAGAGGGAATCGAACCCCCGGCGGGTCGAATTTAGCTTACGTAATCCGAAATGGCAACGACCCAGGTTACCACTACCCCATTAATGCCATGGGTGTACAGTGGAGGGGAAGGTATATCGCCAGCGAAAGGGGAATTGCACTAAGTCGAAAGGGGTCAGAGACTTGGAGAAATATTTTGAGCGAAACACAGAAGCAAGATTAAGAATAGCAGGTGATCGCCGTTAGAGGAGCGAGATTGAAAGTGCATAGAGGAGCCCAGAGGTCGAGAAGAGTGGGGTCCTAATATGAGAGAGAGTTGAGCCACGGAGGCTAATTCCATGTTTCATCGTGATCGGCTCCAAGAATTAGCTATACTTCGCAGGGAGAGTTCCACAGAGCCAGGGAGCACACAAATTTGCTTGAAGGTAATAGGAAGGGGTGAGTTGGATGCCCTCAGTGACTTGATGTGGCCGTATTCTTCAAGTTCAAGTAACAAGTTCAATGCCAGTGCAGGGCCTTAAGCATCAAGAGCATGCAGTGACACAAGTGTGGCGCACAAGAATTCAGAAATATAGAGGACCAATCGACAACCAGTACGGTACCGGCAGTTCAGAGGTAAGCTGGACAAAAGCTGGAGGTAAGAGGCAAGTTCAAGCAGTTGTTCACATTCCGCCACAGAAGCACATCCGAATGAGGAGATTTTGATCGTGGGGAATGGACAGCACATGAGACGTCACAGCTGCGATTATTGATGGCGGTGCGAGGCGCCAAGTCAGTGACGTAGTTGAATTCTGCACGGCTCGTCGAAACCATCCCTGTCAGAATGGGGTGTGTACATTAATCTACCTTAAGTGCAATGATTTGGAGAGGGATAAGAGTATGGGAATAATCCCGGACTATTGATGGCAGACTGTCTGCCAGACCCCACAGACAAATCTCCCTGGGCAATGCCCTGCTGTTATATCCGTGCACTTGGGCTTGGATACCCCTGGTCACACTCTGGTCACACTCCCCTTCCGGTCCTCCAAGATCTTCGGAGTTCTGTCACATCTCGGGTTTTCACGCAATGAAGGATCACTGAGTGTTTCCCGTCTATTGCTTCATCTTCTGTCCTCCCCTTCTGTCCTCCAGATTTCGGACCGGTCCGGAGCTGGCTTGGATGGTCTCGGACCATCGGGCCTATTGCTCTATCACATATTACTAAGTGTTTTCCATTTATCTGTTTATTTGATCTTCTCAACTTCTCATTTATTGTCTTGTCTTACTCAGCTAACTTCTTTGTCCATATATGGACTCTCACTTATTGTTATGCTTTTGGTCACATTACATTACCTTATTCAGGTCAACAATAACGGACTTAGTATAAATACACTTCAATATCCTCATGTACTTTAGCTGTAAAATTAATGTTGTTTCCATGTTTCCAGAAGCAGCCTGCACTACGCAGTGGGCCCCTGTGGCAAGCGGCAAGGGGGGTCTGCAGGGGTCTCCCCCATGTAAGATATTCATCTCTCATGGACTGAGACCACTTCATCATCTTGTCTTTGGCTTGACTCTGGAGTTGCACCAAACCTCCGGATGTCCTTTTCATCCTCTGTCTTGACTTCCGCTCCATCTCTGACCTTCGACCTCCAGTTCCCATGCTCCTCCAGTCCTCATCCATCTTCCACTGGATCTTATGTGTGGACCTTCTGTTTGCTTCCGGAGTTCTTCCGGGAGCAGGGCTCCGACCAGATCACCATTTTCGGAGTAGCCCCTATTGGCTTGGCTATACGCCATGGAGTATCTGTCCCTCTGTTTGTCTCAGCTTGGATCCCAGACTGTCGCACACCCTTCTGAGCTGTGGTGCTTGCGAGAATAGCCAACATCTTTGGACTCCGGTCCTGTTCCGGTCTCTGGTTTCCGGACTTATGCCGGACCGGACCCCTGCCAGCTCCGGGTCCTTCCTCCTTCTGGCTCAGGATATAACACCTGCAGACAAACCTTCGTGGTGATATCCCTGTTCCTATTTGCCCTGGTGCAATCATGTCCACGCAAGTACATGTAGGTATATCATCATGGCAGATTGCATGTATCTATCTGACCTCAGACAGATGCCCCCAGGCAATGCACCACAATTAATCCTTCCTGGCAGTAGCCCTGCATGCAATCATATCCGGCCAGATATGTGTAGGTAATCCATCGCGGCGGACCCTGTGTATCTACTTCTGAAAGGCCCGGTGGCTGTTGATGCCACAAGTGGGGAACCCTGGGTGTGCAGCTTCATCGCAGCCCATGATGCAATACACAAGGTCCAGGGCCCGATGTGAGTGGCAAAAGTGATCTTGTTGGGATGTGACGGCTTCCTAGCAATCATGGACAGTGCAGCGTACACATTGAACAGTAACACTGTCATGAACACCTCCTGTCATGCAATCTGTCGGTATATTAGTAGATTATACAGGCCAAAGGATTCAAAACGTACACCAGTTTCCATCTTCTCCTTGATATATTTACATACAGCGATTGCAAGCATGAGCCTACATATCTTGTCCTGTACCCACCATTCAATAGTTCTGTTCTGCTAGCTCATGGTTGAACCAATGGTTCTGGTAGCTTGAGAGAGTGAGTCTCTCAACGGTTTTGCTTGTCTTGCAATATGGCATGCAAGAAGAACGCATCGAGCACCAGAGGGCCGGTAAGCTCGCTGCTCAGTCTGGATGCATTTGGGAGATCAGATTCACCCAAAGACATGTTGTAGCCTTGGAAATCCCCTCGCAGGTACCACTTGAATCTCAGAGTGAGAAATTGGGATTGAGAGAATAAACAATAACATACTGAGAGACCAACATCTCCATTGCAAAGTATTTGCAAAGTGTTGGCTCAATGTATGCTGACTCAAGGACATGAATCAAGGTCGGAGTTTGCGGGGAGTAATACTGCTGCTCTGCATCTCCTTTGCTGGTGTCTTTAACAAAATAATTATTGTAGTATCTGGTGTGGCAAGCTGGAAAGAAGGAGATGAGGTCTGTGTCTGTATGCCAATTCAAACACTTACAACGACAGTAAAGAGATTTAGAGAAAATTGGGAGGACACCGCGGCACAATGTAAAGAGTCTGGCCTCCGCAACCATCTCTTCCCTGAGAGGTGCAGAATTGCAGCCTGGTTGTAGACAAACTGATGTAGGTGGTACTACAGTTTCCACCCCTGCTCTGCATGAGTTTTTGCTGTATCAGGAGTAGAAAGGACAAACCAATTTAATGTGAGCGGCCGTGGATGTGTAACATGTCATCCAACTGCCAAGAGGAAACATGGTACATTGTCTCTGCAAGATCTGCATGCACTTGCCAGGTGAGTTGCATTAAACTGGTCTCCATGTCCAAAATTCCTCCAAGAAGGTTGCCGACTTTGGGGGGAAGCAAGATCGGACGAGGCTGACCCGGAGGGGTAATCTCAAGCCATATCCTAGTAGTGAGCTCCAGAAAGCAAGATATGGATAAATTGCAGGTTTTGTTTCAGTGAATTGTGGGCAAGCAAGTGTTCGAGGATTTGGAAAGCCAGGTGCGACGAAGTCATGGTCGAGTTGGACATGATTACAGCCCGAAATACACCGCATTGGGACTTGGATTCCAGTCCAAGAATTTGTGTGTAGAGCTATTACTGCAGACACTGAAGCAAAGGCAATTTGCCAGGGGGACTTACTCAGGGGCTTTAGCTGGAGGCAAATCTGAGTGCACAAATTCCAGTGAAGGAGTACATGGATGTGATTATGTAGAGAGGAATCGGCACAGGAGATCAGGTGGAGAGGACTGGCAGAAGTGTATGAGGTGCAGGGAATTACCCGCAAGGATTATGCTCCAGGCGTTAACCCACAGCTGATCCCCCACAGGGATGTCCGGCGGACTCCGTAGTCCGCCATCAGCCCCATAGCTTCAACCTTTTGATGATTTCCATCAGAAAGTTATAATATAAATAGTTTCGCACCCATAAAGTAATGGCTAAATATGAAGAGGTACCAGTGCTGGCTGTTGCGCTAGCACTAGGCGGGAAGTGGTAATAGTACAGGCGTCCGTTTTCAGCAGCATGTGCGAAGAGTCTATAGCACTGCTGGCGAGGTTTTTTCAATGGTGAGCTTGAGTAAAAGGGACGCTCACACTTTAAAGTACCAGACACGGTCTTTTTTGTTTTGTTTCAGCTCGAACTGGGCTGCACAATACATGCAGCAGTTGTTATTGCTATTGACGGGGAAGGGGGGGGGGCATGGCATCGAGCACTGAAGGGCAAGGGGAGCACAGAGGGAGGGAGGTGGGTGGGAGGTGGTGGTGGGTTAAAGCAAGAAGCGGCAGATACTATTTCATTCCAGGCAGAGTTTGAAAGCTCGCTGTCGTGCCGTCATCAAATCTTATCCCTGTGCCGTCCCTTCCCCACGATCAAATCTCCTCATTCGGACGTGCTTCTGTGGCGGTAGGTAGGTAGGTAGTATTACACGGCCGGTCCCGCTTAGGAACACCGGTTTCCAGGGAGTATTGAAGTGAACATGTGCGAGTGTACACTATTGTCCCTGGGTCTCCTCATAACCCCAAAAGCCGAGTTCACAGACGCAGTCTCTCGACTCAGTAGAACCAAGGAGCTGTAAGGAAACAAGATTAGCACGAAATAAGAGGAGCCACATTACAGGTCAAGCATTGTTCAATCTGAACACAGGAACGGCATAGAAGATTTCGAGGACTTCATGTGCGAATTTGGCCACAAGTGCAATGTTAGGTCTGGAATATATCATGGCTTTCAGGAACTCTGTATTTGATTCTTCTGCCATGGAGTGTTGTAGGCCTGGGGAGTTAGAGAACAATTTTTCCAAAAGCACACAGCGAAGTTCCACAAGCATGTCGAGGGACGTGCAGGTGACTAGCGCATGCTCTGGTGTTTCAACCTCTCCTTTACAAAGTCTACAAAGCCTATTTGCCTGGCACACTGGCCGATACGCATGATCCACATAATGCAAGATTTCCATGGCCAATTGGTGTGTGGACAGCATAATGGAGGTAAGGGCCTCTCTGTGCTTCTGTGTCTTCACCATTGTTAAATAATGCCGCATAGTTGAAGTAATCTGTGTTGGTGGTTTGTCCTT